GGGATTATACCATTTTACACTCTCAGTTATACCTACATCTGGTTATTTAACCAAGAGATATGAAAACATATGTCCACAAAAAAATTAATAGAAGAATGTTCATTGTGACCTTGTTCTTTTTCTAATTTTATTTTATTTGAATTCAGTAAATTAACATCTAGTGTATTTTAGTTTCAGAGGTAGAGTTCAGTGACTCATCAGTTGCATATAACACCCAGTGCTCACTACATCATGTGCCCGCTTTAATGCCCATCACCCAGTTACCCTGTCCCCCATCCACTTCCCCTCCATCAACCCTCAGTTTGTTTCTCATAGGGTCTCTTATGGTTTGTCTCCCTCTCTGATTTTGTCTTACACTGCAACCTTATTCTTAACAGTAAAAAATCAGAAACCGTCCAAATATCCATTTAACAAGGGAATGGCTAATCAAGCTGTAGTAGATTCATATAATGGAATACCACTTGATTTCAGCAACAAGAAGGAACTTAGGCACAATATGAATGAGTCTCAAAAACCTTATGCTGAGTCAGCTGAGTCAAAGAAGTCAGACACAAAAGGGCATGTACTGTATGATTCCATGTATATGAAGTTCAAGAATGGACAAAACAAATCCATGCAGATAAAAGTTGGGATAGCAATTACTTCCTGTCAGGGGGCAGGAACATGTGGCTGGGTGATGGCAATGCTCTGTATTTTGATTGGTTAAAAATCATTGATTTTTACACTTAGTATCTATGCATTTTCTTGTATGTATTTATACCTCACTTAGGCACACACACACACACACACACAAATGCATACAGTAACACATGAAAACTCTCCCTACTTCCCTGATCCATTCCCTTCCTCAGTGGTGACCACTGTTTACAGACTGGTGTGGGGTTTCCATCAGTTTCCATTTCAATGGATGTGTGTATATATACATCCAAATAGGCTTTTATATTTTAACATAAGTAAGATCAGACTATATGTATTATTCTGCTACCTGCTTTCATTTTTGATTAACGATATGTCTTGAAGGGTTTTCCATGTCTATAGTTTAGTTTTGCCTTAATCTTCTTAGTTAGCTTGGAGTTCCAGAGTAAGAAAGCGCTTGATTTCTTCAGCCAGTCTCCTGCTGGACAATTTGGCAGTTTTCAAATTTTCACTCTGACAGTGCTATGATGAAAATTTTGTACGTAAATATTCGTGCATATGTGCAAGCATTTTTGTGGCTACTTTCCTAGAAGTGGGTTTGCTTGGGCAAAAGGTGTGGACACTTTGGTGGATACTGCCAAATTGGTTTATAATTTTGTAACCAATTTTTGTCACTTATACTCTTTCTGACCACATATGAGAATGTTAGATTCTGGCCTTCTCTCCAACATGGACATTATGAATCTTTTAATGTTTTTGAGAGCAGATAGGTAAAAAAATGACATCTTTTTCTGCTGAGATTTAAAAAAAGGGAAGTTTTGATTTTCTCCTTTATATACAATATACACATGCACATACGTACTTCCTGCTCCACACTCCCTCCCAGCTATGTAATTCTAGAGGCCTCAAAGCCTGATACTTTCTCACCAGCGAGTTAGGGAACACTTTCTAATTTTAATTTTAATCTGATGGACTGTTCTAGTGAATAGCAGGATTCTCTCCTCTCTAACATTCATTCTTAATATAGTAGCCATCGTTGTTAATCTTGATACCTATTGGAATTTTTTGATTTAATCCAAGTTCCTTAATGATGGTTGAATTTTGAAAAGTGACATGACTTGCTTTATGGAACTGGTCAATTTAAATTGAATGATGAAAACTGACCCTAACACTGTACTCTCCAACTAACCCCCATCTGCCCCTCCTCCATAATGACTTTCTTAAAAATTTGCATCTTGAATATATTTTTAATGGTGTTTCCCAGGAGAAAAAAGTTCACCCCAAGGAAACTTTATTTCTGAACATGAAGCAGGTCAGTTTCTGGCAGAGCTTTGGAATCTGAGTTGCCTAGTGGGTGGGAATTTGGGGAGCGAGTATCAATGATAATTGTCTTCTGATGCAGTATTGCCAGAGGGCTTTGCATTCTGCACCCCCAGGGGTTCTACCTTGCTGAGTTTAATACAATTGAGAGCTTTACTGAGTTTAGCCTAGTTTATTTATGCATGTGGGTTTACTACTGCAGGTGGGGGAGATGCAGGTAGTGATAGGTCACCTACAGATTTTATTCTTGGAAATACTGAAGTTATTACTAGCAAAAATCACAATGGTCATTCCTTCAAGAAGTGTCTAGTGAGCTTCTGGTGGGGGGGAACTTTCTTTTCATCAGGGAATCTCATATTTTTAAATTTCATGCCTCTCTCTCTCTTCCTACCTCATAAATTGCTATTTTAGCCCGTGCTTCAGGTAGCCCTAGGGCTTCTCTGAGGGGTACCTGAGAGAGTGACTGTCTAGAGGTGAGGCTCTGCTCCCCTGTCTCCCCCACCCCTTACCTTTTTCCTACGTCTGCCAGTGCAATCCTTCTTCTCCTTTTTGGTTTTCAAGTAAGCTTTTACTAGAAGAAAGAGTTCTGCTGCTAGAAATATATTTGAAAACCATAGCACTCCTGCAAGGGAGTGTGTATGCTTAATGGGTATCTGTTGACATTCATGTGTACAAAGACAAGATGATCGTTTTCATCATCTTGCTCTGCATCCACCTAATTGCCCAAATCCTGAGCAGTGCCATTCAAAACCCAGCTTTTCTTTTCCAATCACTAGTGTCCTACATCAGGCAGCATTTGAAGGAAAGGTTGGAGAATACGGAGATAGGCTTACATCACAATGTCCAAACTTCAGTTTTCCATTATTCTTAGCCACTCATTCGTAATTCAGAGAAGCTTTAAGGGATGCATGGATTTGAAGGTTTATTTTTTAATTTTTGGATTGAAAAAAAACACTGCAGTATTCCTGAAAGTAAGATCTATGTATGTTCAGACTGCCCCGAGAACTTTGTGGGAGTTCTTTATGCAAATGATATTGGCAATAATAATCTATTTTCTTTTTCAGTGGTACTTGGGGAGAAAACGTTTTAGTAGTTGGTTCTATTTAAGAGTGCGCTTCAAAATTATAAAAAGTATTTCTTTATAAAAATGTCCTCTACTTAAACAATCTCACTAATAACACTGATCTCTCCATCATATCCTATTACTGGGCATAGACTTTATTTCCTGATCTGGGAAGTGTGCTTGCCCCAGGTTAGTATGAGTTTTGGAAATACTATATCCTTGTTCAATTAGGAAGCAAGAGGTTGTTCTCAACATCTTTTTAGTAATCAAAAGATAATTTTCTAAAAGAAGATTAGCATGTAGACTTGAGTTGGTAGTTTCAGATGTGTACGTACCATTACTGTATTGGGTAAAAACAAGGAAATGTCAGATAAAAATTATCCAATCCAAATGCTGACCAAGTAGATGGCTGTTCTCTGTCACCACAATCCTCTTAATAAGTGTCACCAGGAATAGTTAAATCACTGCTTCAGCCGGTACTGTTGAGTTTTCATAAGGACCAAAGTGTTCAGAATATTTTCATCAGCAGGATTTCTGATAGAAGATCATTCAGCTTAATAAGTTCTCTTGAAGTTCATTTTCTTGGAGTGAGAGGGAGTAGGGAAGTATATAATTTTATGAGGACTAGAAATAAAAGTTTCTTCTTGAGCGTGGCTTCCATTTGATTAGTAATTGTTTTAATTCGACATGTTTGCTGTGTATCATCTAGTTCTCATCTCGTGCATGTTTCCACAAGAGCAGTGATTCTTTCTTGCTTGCTTTGGGAGGAGTGAGGGCTCAGTGACAGAGGCTGACTTAGCAATGCCTGAGGGTGGAGGGGGGCAGGGGAGAGACCGGAAGGATCCCAAAAGAGTCTGCTCTGTGGCCCTCCTCTTTTGGAATCAGTGCTCCCAGGCCCTCTGTACTGCCCTCCTGCCTCCTCACTTGTGAGATTAGATTTATACCAGCTGCGACGGACATGGTTGCCTAAATCTGTGGAATGTTTTGCTAAACGCTGCTGGTGAAATAGTCCACATTTAAGCTTAGAACTCTTCCCCCCCGCTCTTTTAACCCATCCTTTGTCAGTCTTTTACTCGATCATTTTATGATTTTGCACTTTGACATCCTGTAGATTCATTAAGAACTTTTATTCCAAGCACCAGTCTTTACTTAACATGATGATTAGCCAAAGTGTTATTCTGTTTGAGCTAAGTGATGACAATGTATTTGATTGGAGCCTTGTAATTGTTATTTTAAAATCAAAGTAATGGATTATGATCTCAGAATAAGAACATGATCCAAAAGAATAATAATAATTAGAAGAGCAACCACTTAGAAGAAAATGAATACCCCGTCACAGACCAGGGGCCCTGTGTTCCCTGAGTACTGCCTACCTTTGCAGTCCCAGGTTCCCAGGAAGAGTGGGTTTTCTCCCCCTCGCCCTTTGCTAGCCTCACTGCAGCCTTCCAGTTCCTAGAAGTAGTAGGTCTTTTCTTGCCTTGGGAATTGCACTTACTGTTCCCTCCACTTGGGGAGCACCTCCACTGGTGATTTCTTGGCTGGCTCCTTGGAATCTTATCCACTGTCTCACCTCCTTAGGGAGGTTTCCTGGCTACTGTGCCTAAAGTCATCTTCCTACCCCATGCCTGTCCACACATGCAATGCACATCATCATTTGTCACAGCATGCGATTTATTTCCTCTCCATTAGGAAACCTAAGTTGTGTCTCTTTGGTACTGGTCCGTCTCTCCCACTGGACTTCAAGCTCCATGAGTTGGGTGAAGACTATACATGTCTCATTCACCATGGCAGCCCCTGTGCCATCCTGGCACTTGGCATTAAGTGGTGCTTAATACATACTTGTGGTTGAATGAATGGAATATTCTGAAGTTTCAAGTTTTCCTGAATCCATATCAATATATTCTATCCTTAGTACTTTTGTTATGATAACATATTATCTTCCAGTGGTTGAATTTAACCACACTCTGCTGACTTTTCTCAGGCATATGAAGGATCAGAATAAGAAGGTGGCCAACCTCAAGCACAATCAACAGTTGGAAAAGAAGAAAAATGCCCAATTACTGGAAGAAGTCCGCAGGCGAGAAGATAGCATGGCTGACAACTCACAGCATTTGCAGGTGAGCTCAGGCTTCTTCTCTTAAAACCTAAATAATTGGAGATTGACTGTCTCTGACATATACCCATTGCTGTGGAGAAATATGAACAGAAATGGGGGACTTGCCTTAGCTCTTAGTCCAGCACTAACAGTGTACTCCCAGAGAACCCAATAGGTCTTCACAACTGTGGAGCATAATTTTCAGAATTGTGCCCAAGAAGAGCTGATTATGGTGGAAACTTTAATACTGCACAATCTCTTGGTTTCTATACCTCACCTTAAAAGGTAAGAGTTGTGTTTACATAGTTGGCAAGAAGCTTAAAACATAGAAATGTCCTCCTTTTAGAATTATATTTCAGTGTTTTTGGCGTTAGTAGAAGGGAAATGTATGCGTATTATCACAGAAGGTATTTGAAAAAGGATGCATTAGGTTGATCTCAGTTTACAAAACTGGTTTTGTTTTGTTCAAAACTCTGAGGCTCTGAGACACATCATTATTATGTCTTCTCTGTGGAATATAGTTATCTCTGAATGGACAGCCCTATCTCAGAAACCAACTGGCTGACTGAAAACACCAATTTTTCCTCATTAACCATCCCTATTTTTGGCAAAGGAGCTCTCCCCATGTGCTCAATAAAACGTTCAAGCTATAACAGGGCATTTGCTTTGAAGTTCCTTTATTTATTCGAGTGTGCCTTTAAACAGAACAGTTCAAGTTCAACTTGGCCAGAGTTCATGTTAAATTTTGCTTATTAATTAGTGTCTTTCTCCAGTTATATATTAGGTTTCCTCCTTGGAGATAGAAGAAGTTAGATAGTTTCAATATGTACTCACAGTTCATCTTTTTAATTGACCAAAAGGGAAATAAATAATTATTCTAGAGTAAGAAATACAAGGAAATGTCTTGCACAGAGCATGGCACATGGAGGTTACTTAGTCAATATTAGTTTATTTTTTCTCTGTGTCCTAGAGGTGCCTTAATGGTTTCAGTCAAGGCCCTTTGCATGGATGGCTGATTTGGTTAGCACAAGAGTAGCATCAAGTCCTTTGTTCAGGCTTGGGAACACCTGAACATGGACTGGTAGCTTATTTGAATCCACAGCTTTCTCAGTGTTGATGTCCCAGGATTTGGGTCTTAGTTTTCCCACCAATCATATGAGGTATTAGATTGGAGCCTACCAACTAAGATCATGAGAACTAAAACTTGTAGAACATTTTATTGCCTTGCCAGGCATATATTCTCATTTGTTCCTCACCTCAAGGTTGGTGATTTTACATTTGGTAAAACTGGAGTCAGCCTTCAAAAAACTAATGTAGAGGAATAATTACAGTAGTAGTTATCATTTATTGAATTTTTCAGTATACTGGGTACTGTGCTACGTGCTTTACAGCACCTTTTTTTTTTTTTTAAAGATTTCATTTATTTATTTGAGAAACAGAGTAGAGTGAGTGAGTGAGAGAGAGAGAGAGAGCATGGGCAGGGGGCGGGGACGGAGAGAGAGAAGCAGACTCCCTGCTGAGCAGGGAGACTGAGGTGGGGCTTGATCCCAGGACCCCGGGATCATGACCTGAGCAGAAAGGCAGACACTTAACCAACTGAGCCACCCAGGTGCCCCAGCCCTATTTACTTCTTATATGAGCTGGGTTAGTTGGGACTCTTAGTTGCAACTGATAGGAATACAACTCAGTCTGAAGTAAGCAAAAAAGGGAATCAATTAACTGAAAAGGCCAGGGTGGACTTCAGGCCTGACTACACTCATATATTCCAACACTGGCATCAGGAATCTCTCTCCATCCTACTTATAGGTGCACTTTGCTCTTTGTTGCTTTGATTCTTAGAAGAGCTGTCCACAGTGATGCTAGCCATCACCAACCAGCAGCCAGCCTCCATTGTGAGTGCAGGCCCACTCGGAGAGGAGAAAGTTTCTTTCTTAGTGGTTGTAGCAAAAATTCAAACCTGAAAGAATGCATATATTGGCCAGGCCAGGATGTGATCACCTGGAGCCTAGGGGATAGAGGTTAGCTACACCCAAATCCTATGGGCTGACAGTGGGAACAGGTGACCTCACACAAGAAAGAAAGGTGTGTGTTACTAGAAGGAATGCTGGACAGTAAAACCATAGAGATCCACTATAGCCATCAGATGGGGTAGATAAGCTGTTATCCCATTTGATATATGAGAAGAAGGAGGCCCAAAATTACTTAGCTAGTAAGTGGCAGAGCCAGGACTCAAACTTAGATCTGACCATCTTTAGATGGTGAGAGTTCAGGAAAAGATTTTTTTTTTTTTTAAAAGATTTTATTTATTTATTTTTTAAAGATTTTATTTATTTATTTGAGAGAGAGAGAATGAGAGACAGAGAGCACGAGAGGGAAGAGGGTCAGAGGGAGAAGCAGACCCCTTGCTGAGCAGAGAGCCCGATGCGGGACTCGATCCCGGGACTCCAGGATCATGACCTGAGCCGAAGGCAGTCGCTTAACCAACTGAGCCACCCAGGCGCCCCAAGATTTTATTTATTTATTTGACAGAGAGAGAATGAGAGAGAGAGAACACATGAGAGGGGATAGGGTCAGAGGATGAAGCAGACTCCCCGCCGAGCAGGGAGCCCGATGCGGGACTCGATCTGGGGACTCCGGGATCATGACCTGAGCCGAAGGCAGTCGCTTAACCAACTGAGCCACCCAGGCGCCCCTGGGAAAAGAGTTCTAAAAGAGGATGACAAGAAAACTGTAGAGTGGCAGAGAGTCTTCATGGAGTGAATGGGATTAGAGCTGATGTGGGAGGGACACGGCTAGTAGAGGAGGCACTCTAGGCAAGAGAACTGTCAGCACAGGTATATAGAGTCTGCACAGAGCAAGGTTTGGTAGGGCACAAAACATAACAGACCGATTGATTGTTGTGTCAGTTTTCAGTGAGGTAAGTTTTAACCATCTTTCTTTAACTGACTCTGGAGCTAGAATGCCCAGGATTCATTCCAAGCTCCAGAATTTACTCGCTGAATGTCCTTGGGCAGGTGACTTACTCTTCCTCATTTCGGTTTCCTATCTATAAAATGGGAATAATAATAATCGCATCTACTCTAGAGTTGCTCTGAGGATTAAAGAGTCAATGCATATAAAGAATTTAGAATTATACTTGGCATAAGCTATGCTCACAATAAGTATTAATGATTAATTGTTATTATGATAACAAGGAAAAGGTAAAAGGAACATTTTGTGAAATTGTTGTCTATGATATGCATGGGCATTTATACAGTTCTACTCTGATATGCGTTGAGCATCAGACTTGCTGTCTTTTCTATATATAGTCATTTCTTTTCTAAGGACACATCTATTTATGGAAATTAATGTCTTGTTTTGACTCATGAACTTTTGCATAGCAATATTTTCATAAGGGGCCTCTTGATAACTACCTCATAGACCTATTCATAAAAGATAGCATGGTCTGGAATTGCTTAGTTGCATTCCTGACCACCCCAAATAAAGGATAGCATTTGAAATGCAATAAAAAGTAATCACGATTAATTTTGATGAAAATGTCTCTGGTTAAGGTTAATAGAGAGTGAAACTCCCACTTTCTTGGATTGTTAAGCAGATGTACTCAGATGCCATAATTACTGCCTTCTGAGGACAGAACTTTCCTTTCTTGGGGAATTTGATTTTTTAATATCACTGTTGTTTTAAGTATTTCCTGTTTATGAGTTAGCTTCTTCAGCCTTTTAATAAGTGTCTGTCAACTGGGATCTAGTTTGGTTGGTTGGACAGTTGGTTGATTGGTTAGTAGTTGTGGGATTGGCACCTACTAAATTTGGTTTACTCTATACTAGTTTTTTGTAAGGGTTGGACATGCTGACTTAATGATTTTGATCAACCAAATAGATGTCATATCCAGAAAAATCTCGGGTAGAGTATTTTCTGCAACAATAATAGCTGTTGGATGAGGTTCCAAAGGAGAGATTGAAGAGATTCAGCGTGTTATGAAAATTGGAGACAAAGTTGAATGTATTCAAACCAGGACATAATAGCAACAGGAAAAAACTGGGCTATTTCAGTCCAATCTGGATATATAGTCATGCTAAGAAACATTTCACAAGCCCAACCCTCTTTAGTTCTTAGGTTTATAGTTTTATGGCAGGAATTGCAAGCTCAGATGCCTCCAGGGTCTAGGCTATTAGCATAAATAAGAAACAGGCTTGCATGTAAGAAAAAATTATGATGTCTCATTCTTTCAGCCTGTCTTAATTTAAATTTTTGGTAGAGATGTATCAGTTAGCAGTTGCCATAATAATGCTGTGTAGCAAATCATCCCCAAACTCAGTGACTTTAAAGTATCAATAGTTACTGTCACAGATTTTTCAGATTGACCAAGTGGCTCAGCTTCTCCAGGGTGGGTTTGAATGGACATGCCTGTTTCTCACTGCAGGTCTGTGGGTGGCTGGGGTAGCTCCATTCTACATATGTTTATTCTGAGACCCAGGCTGAAGGGGGTCAGTGCCACAGGGGAAACTCTTCTGATGACAGTTAGCAGAGGCATAAGAGAGTAAGCAAAAACTCACAAGGTCTCATAAGGCCTAGACTTCAACTGACACTGTGATTTTCACCTCACCCCACTGGCCAAAGCAATGCACATGGCTGAGCAAATAAGCAGAGATTAGGGAAGTACACTCCACCCATGAAGAGACCATTTCAAAGGGGCAGATACAAGGAAGTGTGAGGACTTGAGACCAATCATTCAAACTGTCAAAAGAGACAAGATTTGTGGAAATATTTCTCTTCATAAGAAAAAACAATAACATAAACATAATGAAAAATTACAGCTACAGTGACCTTAGTACACGGATATGATAGAGGTTAGTAGGGACTGTGAGGAACTCAAGAGCCCATGGCTCATCAAAAGGAATTGAGACCACTAAGCTTTGACCGAATGCTGCCATAAAGGTGGGCCTAGGGTTGAGGGACCCTCTGATGGCCATAAAATATAAATTTTTATGTGAAATTTATGGATTTGGTGCATTTTTTTTT